CTCCCTCTCGCTGCTGTTCTGACATGAACAGTTCTTTCTGGCATCTTTATCTCCTCGGTGTCCTCTGAACAACCCAGGTTCATTCCCATCTGCAAGCCTTTGTGCATGTCATTCCTTCCACTTGGAAAGCCTTTCCTACACCCTTCTGCTCATCTGAATCCTAGCTGCCTTTCCGATAACAGCCCAAGGCAGACCACATATTGCGCCTTCCCCAGCAGCTCCAACCTGCAGTAACCTCTTCCTCGACACTCACAGAGCACCAATTGTTTGTACCTATAAGTTGATTTCTATGCTGCCAGGCATAGTTACTTCACTGTTCATGTGTTTATGGGTCTGGTCCTTCTAATAAGACTGTGAGATCCATGAAAGCCAGAATCATGTTCTATACTTCTTTTGTGTAATAAAAGCTGACATTTATGGTTACAGAGAACAACGTATTGGGGAAGGTACTAGATTTGGAATCAAAAGGCTTTGTTTAACACTATTTTGTGACCTTGGGTAAGCCACTGAACCTCCTTAGGCCTCAGTTTCCCCTGTATATAGGTGGATCCTTACTACATGTAAAATATGAGGATTGAACTGGGTGAGCAAAAAGGTACCTTCTAACTCTAACTCTTCTGATTTATTATCTTATGAACTCATGAGCCCACTTTTTCTCATTTCATGCATTTTCCCATTTAATGCTCATAACAGGTAGGTAAGTGGAATGGTAATGCATTCTTCATCACTGGAGTTTAAACAAGGTTAAATGACTCCTTGTCAGGTGTATTAGCTGGACCACCTTGTGGGACCCTTCTGATTCAAAAATTCTGTATTTCTGTTATATGCATTTTACAGAGAGGAAACTGAGACATATGAAGATTACATAACTTAGCCAAGGTCACAGAGCTAGAAAGTTTGGGAACCAGGACTTGAAGCTGGGTCTTTTGATTTTTTAGCACAACAGATAGAGCCCTGGGCCTGGAGTAAAGAAGATCTGAGTTCAAATCTAGCTTCAGGTTCTTTCTTGTAGTGTGACCTTGGGCAGACTTCTGTCTGACTCAGTTTTCTAATCTGTAAAATGGGGATAATAATAACACTCACCTCCCAGGGTTTTTGTGAGGATCAAATGAGATAATACTTGCAAAGTACTTAACACAATGCCTGGCATGATAGTAGATGCTTAATAAGTGCTTATTCCCTTCTTTTTTTCAACTACAGCTCACTGTTTCTGTATCTAAAACAGTTGTTTTTTATTGTTCATCATGTCTGATTCTTCATGACAGTTTTTGGGGTTTTCTTGGCAAAGATATTGGAGTGGTTTACCATTTCTTTTTTCAGCTCATTTTACAGATGAGGAAACTGAGGCCAGCAGGATTAAGTGACTTGCCCAAGGTCACACAGCTAGTATTTGAGACCAGATCTGAACTCAGGTCTTCCTGACTCCAGTGCTCTATCCACTGTGCCACCTAGCTATACCCATAATGAAGGGTTAATAAATTCTTATTGAATGAATGAGTGAATAGATGTAATTTTCCTCATATCTTTTTTCCCCTCAATTGGTACTTCCTTTGTTTTCAGCTTTATTCTGTTAAACATGACACATTTAAATGTTCCTTTGGAGGAAAGGAAGCTGTAGGAATCTAACACATAAGTAATAATAAGAAGCCAAAGAATCCAGCAAAAATTAATTTATCTGGCCTTCTATCAACTGGAAATCTCTATTACCTACCACTTCTACTCATCCATAGTGCAACGATGATTGATTTCTACAAATATGATGTAGTGGAAAGAGGATAGCTTAGCACCATCGAGCAATCTGAGGCCTGGGTCCAATGCAGACACTAACAAGCTGAGGAACCTCAGGTGAGATATTTAATTGCTTCAGGCTTCAGGTTCTTCATCTGCAAAGCAGGGATATTAATATTTGCACACCCCATCCCCACAGGGCTGTGGTGAGGAAAGCCCTGTTTGGGAGGACTTGGGAAGACTACTGTCAGCGGTGTTAGATAATATCTCTCCCAGCTTTGTGTTGTTTGCAAATACGATAAGCATGCCATTTCTGCTTTCATTCAAGACCTAATATATATCAAACGTATTGTAACATTTAATAAGTATTTGAAACAGCACCATTGTTGTTGCTGAGTCATTTTTCAGTCGTGTCCAACTCTTCGTGATCTCATTTGGGGTTTTCTTGGCAAATATACTAGAGTGGTTTGCCACTTCCTTCTCCAGCTCACTCTACAGATGAGGAAACTGAGGCAAACAGGGTTAAGTGACTAGCTCAGGGTCACATAGCTAGTAAGTGTCCAAGGCCAGATTTGATCTCAGGAAGATGAGTTTTCCTGACTCCAGATCCAGCATTCTATCCACTGTGCCACCTAGCTGCCCTAAATAGCACATGACTAACCTTGAGAGGCTATAGACATATTTTTATTAGTATAATAATAATTGAGAAGCATCATGGTATAGTGGATAGGGCACTGGAGTTGGAGTTAGGAAGACCTGGGATCAAATCCCATACTAGGCACTTACTAGCTGTGTAACCCTGAGCAGGGCACTAACTTCTCTGTGCCTCAGTTTTCTCATTTGTAAAATGAGGGAGTTGGTGAAGGCTTCTGAAGTCTCTTCCATGCTATTCCAATTATGATCTTATAATAGGGTATCTCTCTTCTCCTTTTGCCTTGAAAAAGACTGGACAGCCTCTATGAGATTGTCTATCTATCCTCCCATCTCTGGACAATAAATGAATTAATGAGCTAGAGGATAAAGGGAAGAAGGAATGTAAAGGAGGGACAAATACTGGACAGAGTTTTAGTCATTTGAAAAGGATTAATGATATAGGCTAGCCCATAGGATCATAGATATACAGTTAGAAGGGACCTTAGAGATCATCTAGTTCAAGCGCTTCATTTTACAGATGAGGAAACTGAGGCCCAAAGAAGTTAAGAGATTTACCCCAAAGTCACATAGACAGTAAGTGGCAGAACTGGCATTGTATGACTCCAAATCCAGCATCCTTTCCATTGTTCCATTGATACCTGGGTGACCACTTAGCAGGAATGTAATAGCAGAGATTCATCTGTCCAGCAGGGGTCTGGACCCTTAGGGCCCTTTCAGGCCAGATGTTCTGTGATTCTAATGGATCAGACTTTCGGAGGATGAGAACAAAACCAAGTCGGCAAGCATCAGAGAAGGAGATATGAGGCAGGGATTGTAAGGAGTAGGTTTTGCCCCACTCCTGCCATGGGAGGGACCACGTGGGATTTTGTCTTCTGTGTTTGCTTCAATGTTTCCTACAGACCCAAAGTATCCTGTCTCCACTCCTACCATCTGCCCTCACAAAAACATGAAGGATAAGAGGCTGGAGGAAGAAGTGGACTATGGAAGGAAATTAGGAAAAAGCAGATTGATTAGAACAGAGAAAACAAGCCTGAAGGGAGAGGAGGCACAAGAGAAAGCCAACAACTCGCCCCTTCTCCCTCTTAGGAAAGTTTTACCTTTCATTGCTTTCCCTTTCTTTTTTTGCTCTAATTTGTTTTTTAATTAGCAAGCATTAATTTTTTTCTCCCTCCCACCCACTCCCTTAATTGAAAAAAGAAAAAAAGAAGAAGAAGAAAGCCTGTAACAAATATGTAGAATCAAGCGAAATAAAGTCTTTCCTTGGCAAGGTTCAAAAATGAAAGTCTTTATTTATCTTGAGTCTTTCACCCCTCTGTCAGAAGGTCTTCCATTAACTTTTCCAAGACCTCAAAAACACACACATATATGTATATATTATATATGTGCACATATGTATATGTAATATATACATAATAAAAATAAAAAACATAATATATCCATGTGTGTGTCTCATTTGATTCTCTCAACAACACTGGGAGGTTAGTGTTATTATTACCTGCATTTTACAGGGAAGGAAACTGAGGCTGAAAGAGGCTAAGTGTGAGCTTGCCTAAGGTCACCCAGCTAATTAATGTCTAAGGCAGGATTGAATGCAGGCTTTTTGGACTCTGGGTCTCTGCATTGTGCTACATAGTGCCTTCTAAGGCCAGGGAAGAGGATGAGCAAAGGCAGAAAAATACATACTGAAATGACAGAAATAGTCTTGTTTCACTGGTGCCTAGACTATGTAAAAAGCAACATTGCATGGTGGAGAGAGAGCCCTCCTCAGAGACACAGAGCCTGGATTCAAGTCTCACCTCTGATCCTTTCTGGCTTCATGACAGGAGCAAGTCACTTAACCTTTCAATGTTCCAGGCAATGTTCTAAGACTTCAAGCTATAGAGTAGGTGCTAGCCAGTACTTATAGAAAAGGTTCCCTCACCCAAGAATTCTCTGCATCAGTGAAATCTCAGGACCAGTCCTTACCCACCCTTAAGAATATGTACGTATATAGATAGATATACACATATATACACACCCATATATATATTACATGTGTATTTATACATATATAGATATATATACACATATACACATCTATATATGTAAGATGAATATATCTATATAGATGGATCTTACCTAAGCTATCTATCTTATAGTGTATACACACATATATATGTATACACGTGTGTATAAAGATAGCTATATCTATGTATGTATCTATGTATGTATGTGTTATTGTATATTTGTGTGTATATATACATTACATATGTGTGTGTATTCCTCAGCAACTAGTACAAATATTTATTGAATTGAACTAAATTCCATTTAAAAAAACAAGCTGGTATGATATGAATATGGCCAAACAAGGAATCAGGAAGACTTGAGTTCTAATAGCAGCTCTGCCAGTAGTAACTGGTTGTGTAACCCTGAGTTGTCTCTCCTCCTGTGGGCCTCAGTTTTCTAATCTGTAAAGTGAGAGGGTTGGACTGAAAGAATCTATGATCCTTCCCAGCTGTAAGGCTCTATGATTAATGGAGGAACCACTTTTGAGCCTAAATCTGCATATCATCTCTTAACTCAATCCCAAATCCCAGCCTTAATCTGCCTTCCATTCCCTGGGGTGCCTTCTCTTCTAGGTAAGCAGCAGCGCTGGCCTCTGATGGTGACTCTGTACATTAAATTCCTGACATCTTTCTGCCTGCTTCAGCACAGGGAAGTGCAACCCATCAGCTTTCGAAGAGAACAATCATCTGGAATAGGAAGATCGCAGATTAATGACCTAGAAAATCTCTCACAAATGGAAATGGTACTTAATTAAACCACATTAAATCATTATTCTTGGTCTCTGCTTTTGGCCCCTCACTATCCAGTTGAGGATTGAATGAATCCTCCAGCCTTAGGATGGTTCAATTAGAGCATTCTTAGAGACTCATAAGGCCCTGGGGTACAACTTGCCTGTCCCCTTCCCTATCCCCTCAAAGGAATGATACCAAAAACCTCAGACTCTTTTCATGAAAGGTAATGGTTATTTCTAATTTATCTCATTTTGTGATTAATTTGACAATTTGACTAACTGCCGGAGAGCTAGGACTATATCATCCTCTCTTAAAAACCTAAGAAAAATGAAATTTAAAAAAGCTATTTAATGAAGCCCATTAGTCGGGTGAGAATTAGAGGTTAAGAAATCATGCCTCAGCTAGAAGCATCTCATCTGTGCTTACTGACTTCTCCAGGAAGAGACACAGTCAGAAGGAACTCCCAGGCCCTGTTAGAATGAACCATCTCAATCAAGTTTGTCAAGCCTCAGTTTCCCTGTTATGTCCTCTTTCCTCAGCTCCCTTTGTGGACACCTCTTCTGTTGGCTTCTCCATATGTCGGTCCAATCACTCATCCAGAAGCACAACCTAACCCAGCTTTGGCAAAGAAACTCTCTTCAGATGAGAAAAGTCCAGAGAAGTGCAGCATCATGCCAAGAAGGCAGAGTAGGGGAGAGAAACATTTCCAAGGAACTCTCATTCACCCAGGCCCCTATGTTCAAACCTTTAATATTATTTTGTGACTCCTCTTGCTTTTTTACCTCTCAGAGCAGTTATTAAGTCTTATTGATTACATCTTCTCAGAATCCCTCAAATCTATTCCTTCTTCTACGTTCCTGGAGCATTGCCTCTCTCCTGGAGTATTGCCATTGTCTCCCAATAGATTTTACTGCCTCTGCTCTTTCCCCTTAACAATCTGTATATATTTCCAGACTTACCTTTCTTATGTATGAATCTGGCCACGTCACTCCTTTGCTTAAAAATCTCTGATGGCTCTTTACTGCTTAGGGAATAAAATTCAATTTCCATTTTCTTCCACAATCTGGAGCCAGCCTACATTTTTCACCTTATCTCATGTTACCTGACTCCCCCATATTCTTAAGGGTGGGTAAGGATTGGTCTTGTGATTTCATTGGTGCAAAGAACTCTCAAATGAGGGAACCTTTTCTGCAAGTACAGGCTAGCACCTACTCTATAGCTTAGAGTCTTAGAACATTGCCTGGAACATTGAAAGGTTAAGTGACTTGCTCCTGTCATGAAGCCAGAAAGGATCAGAGGTGAGACTTGAATCCAGGCTCTGTGTCTCTGAGGAGGGCTCTCTCTCCACCATGCAATGTTGCTTTTTACATAGTCTAGGCACCAGTGAAACAAGACCATTTTCTGTCCTTTCAACATGTATTTTTCTGCCTTTGCTCACCCTGGCCTTAGAAGGCAGAATGCAGAGACCCAGAGTCCAAAAAGCCTGCATTCAATCCTGCCTTAGCTGGATGACCCTCAGCAACTTGTCACACAACCTCTCCCAGCCTCAGTGTCCTCCTCTATAAAATGAAGATAATAATGGCACCAACCTCTCAGTGTTATTGAGAGGCTCAAATAAGATAACATAATATATTATATGTTATATGTGTCATATAACATATAATACATATATGTATACATAAAATAGATACTTTATATATAACATGAGGTGCTTTGCACAAGGGAATCTCTTTGTCTAGTGGCTTGGAATCATAAGAATACACCTGGAAAGACTTCCATAGGCAAATTAATGGAGTCCAAGGACAGATTAAGATGTCTTTGAGTCCCTAGTCAACAAGATGCCAACATTCATACTAACCATACTTTTCATTTATTTTAAAGAATTTAAGTATTGGCATCAGAATTTAAAGTACAGCTATTCTGAAATGATAAAAAAAAATCCCTCACTATTATATCATTTCTAGTTCTCCCTTCTCTCCCATCCCTTGCTTTCCCTCTTTTCTCATTGCCACCACCCTTTGTGGCTTAATTACTAACCCAATCTAATCTAGTCCAATCCATCAGGCATTTATTAAGCACTTATAGTCAATGCACATTAATAAAAGATAAAATGAAAAACAGGCCCTGGCCTGAAGGAGGTTATATTCTTCTACCCACATGGACAAATTAGTTTTATAATTTCTTCCCACCTCCACTCTCTTCTACCCTCAAATCAACCTTGACGAGCTGCCAGAGAATTTTCCTTATTCCTCAGTGCATTTCCTTCCTCCCTTCTTCCCTCCTTCCCTTTCTCTCTCTCTCCCTTCTTCCTTCCCTCCTTTCTTTCACTCATTCCTTCCTCCCTTTCTTCCTCTCTCTCTCCTTCCCTCTCTCCTTCCTTCTTTCCTTCCCTCCTTCCTCTATTCTTTCCTTCTTTCCTTCCTTCCTCCCTTCCTGCTTTCTTTCCTTCTGTCCTTCCTTCCTTTCTCCCTTTAAAATCTTAAAATCCAATTCAGACTCCAAGTCAAATGCTACTGTGTCCAGGAAACCTGTTTTGAACCTTAGGTAGATTAGAGAGGGACACAATCCTTAGCAAGACTCACAGGAGGCAAGATCAGGAGCAAAGGACAGAGAAGGGCATTCAAGAACATTCCATTTCCTCCTCTCTGTTAACTTTCCAAGAATTAGGGTAATTCAATCTCATTGGCCCTGTTGGCTCGTTCAGTTAAATGCATGATTCAGCCCAAACAAAGGAAGAAGTTAGGTCTTTTACCTCTCTGATGTATGGGCTATCTGTTCATTAACATTTGCTATCTGTTCGTATTTTATTTCCCTACTAGACTGTAACCTTCTTGAGGGCAGGGATTGTGTCTTATGTAAGCTCTGTATAGCCCTCAGTTCTAAGTTATTCTGCTCCTAGAATGTATAATTATATTTATTGAATGAATATATATATATGAATGAACCCAGTCCAGCTCTGTTCCCACTTTTGTTTTTTATTCTCTTCATGCTCTGAATAAATTAAAATTCCATCTTATGCTTTTGCATATGAAATTAATGGCTGTGGTGGAGGCTGGAACTCATGATAATGATCCCCATTCTTACTCCCTGTTTGTGCTGAATCATGCCCTTGAGTGACTGAGCCAGCAGGACCAGTGAGACAGTTATCTTGGGGGCCCCTCACTATACCCTGATTCCTGGAGAGTTATCAGAGAGGTTCCAAGTTGGAAACATGTGAAGGAAGTGAAATGTTTTTGTCTTCAATTCATTGTCATTTCCTCCCTTGCCCTGCCTCTTAGGAGTCTTGTCAAGGAATTCGATCTCCTTCCTAGCCTTGCCCATAGGCCTTTAGGGGTCAGTTCCCCCTCGAGTACTTCTCTGGGTAAGTATATCTGGTTTCTAAGACTGGGAAAGAGGAAGCAATAGCCACTTCAGTTTCCATAGTCCTGACCCAGGAACTCCAGATATATAAAAGAAAAATTATCTTAGTATCAATGGAAAGAAGACATTCAAGTGAACCACTTTGCTGTCCCCTCCAGACATATGGGGCCCCTACACACATGTCCAGTATTTCTATTGAATAATGGATATACATGGTCAATGAAGTTTGTCTTTAACCCTCTTCCAGCTCCGCTTTCTTCACTTTCTCCCCATGCTTGGTACCACTCTGCCTAACCTGTGTTCTAATCCCATAAGGCTTTGGGTTCAGTAGTCATGCATCCCTAGCTAAATAACTGCTATTAGCTAATAATTAACTCCTATTTATTGATCATATACTAGGTGTTCAGTATATTTTGTAACCTATAGTGTTTCCTTTTTTGCCTTAGCTGACAGAAACTTTAGAGTTTATCGATTATAAGGGTTAGGACTAGACTATTCTAAAGGTCCATCCCTCCCAGATCTAAATCTTGTGAATGCCATAGTAAGAGGATAGGATTATAGATTTAGAGCTGGAAGAGATCTTTAGTCCCTCCTAATCCTTCTACTCCACCCCCTAAATTTTACATATGAAGAAACTGAGGGTCAGGGAGATGATTTGTCCAAGGTCACACAGTCATCCAACTCAGGTGCCTGAACACACCTGTCCCTTCTGGTTGGTTTTTTTCCCATACGGCATCTTCCATTTTGTCTTTATATTGTAATGTATAAACTAACTCATCTTTTTTGGAACTAGATGGGGAATAAAAATATTATGATTCTAACCCTATTCTAGGTGTTGTGGAGGGTACCAAAAAGCATCAGACAGGGTCTCTGCTCTCCCAGTGTTCACAGTCCGATGGAGGAGTTTGGCTTTTCACATATGAAAATATAACTCACAATACCAGGCAATGTAGGATAAGTGTTATAAAGGTGACAACATGGCATTGGGGACAGACCCATGGCTCTATGTGACTCTATGTGGAAAGAGCAATGAACTTAGAATCATGGGACCTGGGTTCAGATCCTACTTATTACTTGTTAGATTCTGCTACTTATTACTTGTTAGACCTTGGAGAAATCATTGAATTTCTTTGACCTTCAGTTTCCTTGTCCCCATCTGATTCCTTGTCATGGCATGGGGGTATTTCTGAGTTCTTTAAGACTGTGCAGGCAGGGAACAAGCTCAGAAAAGTCCCAACAAGCAGGAGAGGCTTTAAGTAGGATGAGTATGGAGGTTCATCAGATGTGGCACAGGGTGATGGGGGGTTTTTTCCATATTCCTTGAACAAGAATTTCATTTCCCAAATCCAGGCATTTTCTCTGGTTGTCTCCAATGCCTGGAAGACCCTCTCTCCTCATCTTCTTTTCCTTTATTTCCTTAAAGTCCCAGCTAAAATCCTACTTTCTATGGGAAACCTCTCCCAATACTTCTTAATTCTAGTGCCTCTCTGTTGTTTATCTTCAATATATCCTGTATATAACTTGTTTGCATCTCAGTGTTTTTCTCTTGTCTTCTCCATTAAACTAAACTCTCCCCTTGAGGGCAAGGACTGTCATTTGGCTTCTTTTGTAATGTTCTTTTTAGCTTAGCACATAGTAGGCACTTTAAAAATGGTTGTT